TGTGATTCTTATGTGTGTATAAATAATTGAATATGAGTATATGTGTTATTTATTATCGTATATGTTACATGACCTATGTGAATACATGTTTGAGTGATAACCCATGTGAACTGGTATAAATGACATATTTGATTACATGAGAATATTATATAAGTTATGTGATATGAACATAAGGGATTATATGAACATGTGATATAAGATATGTAAAACTGAACTATGTGCATATATGAAACTGTGATACATGTTATATGATATGAGATAGATGTTTACACGTACATGTGGTATGTGATAGAAGAAAAGATATATGTGATTATAAGAGCAATGATATGAATTATAAATGATAATGCCCATGTTAGGTGATACGAGAGCTAGGGGTATAGTTGGCATGCAGGAGTCGAGGGTTACCTATGTCTTTTGAGACATATGGACATGATTACCTATGTCTTTCGGGACATATGGACAGAATTACCTATGTTCTTCGGGATATATGGACAGTTACCTATGTTCTTAGGAACATATGGATAGGTCCTTCGGGACACAGATTTCACATGCCACTCAGTGGACCTTATACGAGCTGTGGTGATAGCATAGTGCACAACCTCTATGTACTCACATACCTTAAGTTCTCAACAATATACATGGGCTTTAAAGATAATAAAGAACTTGATATGATATTATATGTGTTCCTTTGTGAAATGGTGTCTGTGATATATGACGTGCATAAATGATAAGTTCAGTATCATAGGATGATAAAAATGAAAATAATAATATAATTACATAGGTGTATTTGTTCTATGAGATTGGTAATGGTTTATGCATTGGTGTGATTTAGAGTTTACATTATATATTGATATGGTATAAAAAGAAATTAGTGATGATAAAATAAGTAAAGATAAGCATGTAAATGATGGGATTAAGTATGTATATATGTATGATGTTATGTTACATGATATGCACATGTGTGTGTATGTTACAGGAAAGAATAAATACTTTTGTATGATATGGTAGTATTAAGTGTTCATGCATTGTAGAAGTTACAGTTATATCATAATTTTATTTATGCCTCACTAAGTCAACGACTTAGCGTGTGATTGTTTCACACGTAGGTTCCGAGAAGAGGAAGATTGATAAAAGTTATGCAAGACAAGTCAGTTTCTCCTTTCCAAAGATCAGATCAGAAAAGAATTGAATAGTTTGTGTTTTGTAATTCAAATTGTGTTGACATGTAAATAAATATTTGATTCCGATACGCTCTAATCGGTTTTGTAAAATCATATGATTGAGTTTTGTAATGGTTTAAATGTATTTATGTAAATGGTAACTTTATAGTGATGAAAGGTTAAATTTTTATAAGCTTTATATAAGTTGGTCGAAATTACTGTAGCAGGGTATCGGTACACTGTAGCAGGGTATCGATACACTGTAGCAGGGTATCGATACCCCTGTAGCATTCTGAATTTTTTTTAGCATTGGTATTGTTCATTACTGTTCACGGTACTATTTGCACAATATCAGTACTATTCATACAATATAGTATTATTCATAAAAACGTTTATTTCCTTAAATTTGTTATAACGAAATATAATCCAACATTATATTATCGTACTTTCTTAATATAAGTCCAAATGTTCTGATATTTTGTAAGAATATTGTTTTATGTGACATCTCGAACTCGTATCCGGATCGGGTACGGGTTGGGGGTGTTACAAGGTAGATGCATGCCTTCGTATTTGCGTCAAGCTTGGCTCTCTCATCTTTGGGTATATGAACAAATTCCCTGCACCCGAATACCTTGAGATGATTTTATGAAGCCCTTTTGCCCGTCCAGACTTCTTCTGGGATGCCTCCGTTCAAGGGAATTGATGGTGTAAGGTTGACAATGTCAACCATTGCCATTATAGCTTTTCCCTAAAATGATTTGGGTAATTTAGCATGAGAGAGCACACATCGAACTCTTCCTTTAATAGTTATATTCATTCTCTATGCTAGTCCATTCAATTGTGGTGTCTTGGGTGGAGTCCTCTCTAGTCTAATGTCATATTTCTTACAATATGCTTCAAAATGACCTCTATACTCACCTCCATTGTCAGATCTTACACACTTGATCTTCCGTCTGGTCTCACACTCCACTAGGGCATGGAATTCTTTGAATGCATCAAGCACTTGATCATTTGATTTTAACAGGTGCACCCACACCTTCCTTGAATAGTCATCAATGAAGGTGAAAAAAATACAATACATCACCTATTGATCTCTTGGACATCGAACACACGTCGATGTATACGAGGTCTAGGATGTTTTTCTCCTTATAGGCGGTAAAGATATTTGGAAAGCAACTCTGTGTTGTTTTCCAGTTAAACAGTGAGCACAAGGATCAAGTGGTTTACCTTTCACGCCAGGTAGGAGTTATTTCCAAGCGAGCATGTGAAGACCCTTCTCACTGTGCCCAAGTCGCTTATGCTATATCTCCACATCTTCAGTGGTGATCTTTACCTCTTCTTTGTAGAGCTTAGCTTGCATCATGTACAATGACCTTTCTTTCTTTCCTCTAGCCATTATTAGGTTTCCTTTGGTGAGCTTCCACTTTCCTTTACCAAAGTAATTTATCAGACCAGCATCATCTAGCTTCCCAGCAGAGATAAGATTGAGGCGCATGGCTGGAACATGCCTCATATCTTTTAAGATAAGCTTGCATCCAGTGCTTGTCGTCAGGATAATGTCTTCTATCCCGATGATTTTGCTCATGTCTTGTTTTCTCATTTGCACCGTACCAAAATCACTACTTCGATAGGATGAGAAGAAACTTCTATGTGGAGTAACATAAAATGAAGAACCAGAATCCACAATCCAAGAGTTATCATCATAAGCAATGTTTAGGATATTACCTTAATCAACAAAATATAGCAGATCTTCTTTTGATACTACAGTAGTAGTACTATTCTCTTCTTGCTTCTTCATTGGGCTGATTTGGTCTGACTTAACATTACCGGCATTCTGGTGTCTCTTGAAGGATCGACATTTCATTTTCTTGTGGCCCATCATTCTACAGTAGTAGCATGTAATCTTCGAGCGTGACTTTGATTTACCTCGAGATTGATGTGGATATCGGCTTTTGATGTGTCAACGAGTTTCATTCCTACCCCGATTCTCAATAATATTAGCTTCGGGATAAATAGACTCACCTTATTCCATTATCCTTGCTTCTTCACCAAGGAGGCTATCACCAACGATATCCATGGTGAGCTTTCCTTCCGGAGCTGAATTACTAAGTGTAACAACGAGTGTATCCCAACTTTTCGGTAAGGAACTAAGGAGTAGAAGAGCTTGCAACTCATCATCAATTTTCATCTTGGTTTTTGTTAATTGATTTACGAGCCCCTTGAAATTTTTTAAGTGCTCAATCATACTTTAATCATCCTTATACTCCAATTTCACCAACCGTCGAACTAAATTGGCTTTGTTACAAGACATTTTCTTTTGAATCATGAACTCAAGCTTTGTCCATAATTCATAAGCATTTGTATAAGTATAAATATGCTCAAAGAGGGTTTTATCAATGTACTTACGGATCATAACAACGGCCTTCCGATTTAGTAGTTCCCATTGAGCATCACTCTTTCCTTCTGCATTGTCTTTGTAGATGATGGGCTCATGCAAATCTCTGCAGTACAGGTGGTCCTCCATCATCGGCTTCCAATATGAGTAGTTATTGGTTGTGAGCTTGAACATGTCTTCATCAAGAGCGACGTTGTCCTCCATCTTGAACTACACGAGCTAATTACGACAATGGATGAACCTGCTCTGATACCACTATTGGGAATTACGGTATTTCCCGCTTCGTGAAGTTAAGATAGCCACTTAGATATTAAGGATAGTAAAGAGAGCACATGTGTATAATTCTCTAATTTGGAGATTCTTCCACTATACAAAATAATAGTAGGATTACAATGATGTATTCACAAATTTGACTCACACTTGGTGACTCACTCAAGCTTGAGGATAAAGACTTCCCAAGCTATCTCTCTTCTCTCTCAAAGAGACTTTCAAATTATCTAGTTTCTCAAGCTTGGATTTCTTGGATAGTTAGAATGAAGTCTCTTACCCCTATTTATACTACTCCACCTCCATAACGAATGGTGGAGATTACTTACATCCAATGGTGAAGATTAATTATCTATAATGCTCCACACACTCTAAGAAACTCTACACTCTTCCATTCCCTTCCATATTCTTCCATACTTTTCCATAAGGTTCCACACATCTCCAGAATATTCCAGAGGATACCACACTCTTCCACAAGCTTCTACACATCTACAGAATATTTCAGAGGATTCCACAAGCTTCTAGAGAGTTCTACACTTCTCTAGAGTTCTCCAGAATATTCTAGAAAATTCTACACTTCTCCAGAAAACTCTAGAATTTTCTAGAACCTCTCCAATTAAGGAGATATCCAACAATGTTCCGAGAAATCAATGTTGGTAATACCGTTCAAAGAACCAATGGCAATATCTTCTTCCAACAGTTCAATATCAACATCTTCAAGGTCTTCATTCTTATTATTGGGGTGGCCATCAGAGTTGCCTGTGAGCATATCTTTATAGGAGACGATTGGACAGGAAGTATGAGGAAGAGATTCACAGTCCATGGGGGAGGAGATATCAATGTGGGGGGGGGGGTTTGGTGGCAGTATCCGGAGGATCATGGTGACCAACGTTGTTTCTTTTGGTGGCGAGGGGTCAGGGGAGTTCGAGGGAGGGAGCATAGCTTTAGGTATTTTTTACCCTTCTTCGAATTAGTTCCATAACGCCATTTTTAGTTGATACAATATAATTACCTTTAGCTAAAGAATAATAATGTAATTTTAACCTTGAATTACCCTTATAATTTTACTTTAAATTTTCATTTTTTTTTCTAAGATTTCTTATAACCCTCGTCCTATTTTAAAGTAGGAGACGTCAGGCGGAATAAGATTCTTTTTAAAACTAAGCGTGCTCTAGAGGAGACCGTAATTCTCCATGTCCTGCTGTTTATGCTTGAAGTGAAAACAAAGAAATGGCTCCAGCGAAGAAGGGAAAGGCCAAAGCCCAGAAGGCAGAGCCGTCTCGTCCCTCTGAAAATGACTACAAATTCCCATCGTCCATCCGCTCGGTTCCTCCCTCGTCTGTTGCCATCACCATTCACGCCAAACCCGGCGCCAAATCTTCCTCCATCACCGGTCCACTAGTTTCTTTCTTTGCTCCCAATTTTCTTTTCAAATTTCCATATTTTGTTTCTACCATTCACGATCCCTATTCTTTACCTTAATGGAGTTTTTCTTTTCTTTAAAATTTTGGGATGAGCCCAGATTTCAGCGACGACGCTGTAGGGGTCCAGATCGATGCGCCTGCCAAAGACGGTGAAGCCAACGCTGCACTTCTTGATTATATCAGCTCGGTCGGTTCCTTCTTCCTTCTCTTCAGTTTTTGTTGCTTCATTATTTTTCTCCCCGATCGAGGAATTGGTTTTGGTTTATTGAGATGAATATCTTGTTAACTATCATAAAAAGTATCTTTTTTTATTTCCTTTATTAATTCCAAAGATGAAAACCCATTTTCTAACTAGGTAGCTAATATAGCATTGCTGTAGTCATCATTTGGTGAGATTGGATTCTTATCTTAAGAAAATGAATCCATTTATTAGGAACCCTTGAACTGTGCCTGTCCATCTTTGGGATATATGTGTCACCGGCTTGTTAGAAACAATCTTCTTCTTTAAGTTTCCCCGTGCTAAAGAATCATGGCAAAAGAACATTGCCCTGAGAATTAAGTATTCTGGTCTTAATATCAGAATCTGATTGCTCTTCTAGGAACATTTGCCTGCAATGTGTTCTCGCAGCCCTGAACTGAAGTAAGTCAACTAGAACTTCCCGTTCCATTGGTCTTCCGCCATAATCTTCCATCGCAATGATACAAAAGATCAGAAACTTTTAGCTTCTTAATTAATTAGTGTAGATTTGAATGTAGCTGTTCCATGTGTCATTCGATGTTCCGCTTCATTTGGTGCACAATGAGATGATTGTTTGTAAATATATTAGCTTGGAAAAAAGGTTTGTAGCACTGAGGAAGTAAGGATAAGACTAAATAGATTATGAATGAGATTAATAAACTGACCCGGAACCACATTGGGTACAAAAATACTTGAATCTACCCAAATACCCATGATATATTACTTGGAAGTTATTGATGATTGTGGCTTTTAGCTTTTATTCTTCTTGGAGAAATGTAGTCTGTATATGTTCATGTTTATGGCTCAAATGATAATGCAAAGTATATGAAGAGCAAGTTTTACCATGGATGGTGGTTGTTGTAGATATGTGTGGTTATTTAGAGCGATGTTATACAAAATCTTCGTATCATATTCATATTATTTAGAGCGATGTTATACAAAATCTTCGTACCATATTCCTCCATGAAGTATTTTTCTCTTCAATGCATTGTCCCCCTTTCCATTTGTCTTAAAACTTGTAATTCTTCCCAAATGACAGGTTTTGGGAGTCAAAAGAAGGCAAGTTTCAATAGGTTCTGGCTCTAAATCAAGAGATAAGGTGGTAATCGTCGAGGAGATTACTCTGCAGACTGTATTTGATGCTTTGAGCAAAGCGTCCAAGGGTTAGCAATGGAGAGACACAATGTGAAATGCTAGTTACTCTTACCATGCTAGTTCAAGCCATGGATGATACTTGATTGCTTCCTTGATTGAAAAGATATTTAACAAAAACAGTTCATACAGGGTCAGTCTTCTGAAAATTAATGCAAAACTTGAGAAGGGGGGCCTTTCGGCTTGTTTCCTTGTAAAACAGTTAACCTAATCTAGATACTAGTGGCAGTCTTGATTAACTTAAGACTTTGAATTAGATGGATGCCTAGTGGCACTATAGTCTATACAATTGTTTTCCATACTTCATGGTCACACAAGTTGAGGTATATTTTCAAACTATGATTTCTGGATTAATAACTTAAACATGTACCTACTTTTGATTTATTGACTGATTAATCTAATTTGGTATCATAAACATCTATTATAAGAACAATTCTATCAATTTAACTTGTTGAATTCATAATGTCAAAATTTGAACTTTGAACATTATTTAAGACATTTTACCTCTCATCTCCTAAATCAACTTGTAGTTTATATCTACCACGATATTATATCACCCTATTTATCAATTTAAAATATAAAAATTAATTCAAATTTAATGTGAAAATATATTTAAATAAATTATCGAAATTTAATTGTACATTCATCTATTTCATACACAACTCGATATAATATATTAAAAAATATTATTGAATTTTAATGTCATTGTTCTTTTGATAGTTCTAAGTTTGTAAATTGTATATATTTGATGCAATTCGCTCAATAAAAAATAAGGTAAAATATAGTAGTTGTCACTTATGTTTCATTTTCTTTTGATTATGATCATTCAACTTTCAATTATTACAATTTTGTCACTCACATTATTATTAATGACAATTTAAATCCTCCAGAGAACAACACTCATTTTTACTACAAAACCTCTCACTAAGTTCAATTTTTATTATTTTTCTTGATATAGATGCTGTTTTATTTCTTCTTAATTTTAATGTTAAAATTAATTTAAAATTTTATATTACAATTCAGTCAAATGATGTTTTTTAAAATTGCAGTTGGTACTTATGTAGATCTAACATAATAACATTTACAAATAAATCAAGTTTGTTGCTAACATCTCGCCCTCCTTTACTACTCTTCGTGAAAATTCAGCACCACAACGACGTCGTTTCAGATATTTAATCGATCTATTTTCTCTGTTTCCTTCCCCTACCCCTACCCCTTCCCAATTCTTGTTGTTTCTCCCGCCGGCAGATCTATGATAAATATTTGATTACTTCTAATTTTTGTGAATATTTTCTACGTATGGGGTGGATGTTGATTATTCTTTCAATTTTGGTTGTTTGGGTAGCATCTGTTTGGAAGATCTTCTTCTCCCGTTCAGAACCCACTTTTTTAAATGAAGGTGGCTCCATTACTTTTAGATTTTTATTCCTACAAAAACATGTTAATTTCGTTTTAATTAAATTTGTATATGCACATTGTATCCAGGTTCACCTTTAACCTCAAAGAATGTCTTGCTGGTTGTTGCGCACCCTGATGATGAATCCATGTAAGCTGCTGAATACATCTCTTTAATTTCCCATTTCCATGTTGAATTGACTTCTCGCTTGGTTTGTTTTATTTACTGATCTTTCTTTTCTTGGTTTTCTGAATTTCAGAAGCTATTAAAACTAAAATCTAATGATCAGAAAATGATTTGAGTGACTAAATGCTTATCAATAACTATATTATCAGTTTATTTGGGTAAGCTCATGCATTTTATTTAGTGTTTTCAATTTTTTTTCATAAATATTAGCAGTTGCATTTGTGTCCACATGCACCTTTTTTTTTCTTTATGTTGTCATTGTGGATTTTTTTAGTGAATTTACCGATAATATCAGAAAATGATTGAGTGACTGAATCCGATACATCAATTACTGTTTCATTTTTTATCTGGTGTCATTGTGGATTATTTATCTGGTGTTTTCATTTTTTTAATGAGATTAGTAGTTGCATTTGTATCGAAACACACATTTTGATTTAGGTTGTTTTTGAGTCAATTCATGGATAATATCAGTAGCCAGTACAATTTCATCTGCAAATGGTTGATTTGATTTAAATTATTACCCCTTAAATTGTTTGCAATACAACTGACTGCTTTGCTCTTGAAGATCAGTTTTCAGATGAAAGTTCCATTTATGAATGTTTGATTATATCAATTTATTATAATGATGTATTCTGTTGCAGGTTCTTTTCACCAACAATAAACTACTTGACTTCAAGAGGGCACACTCTTTTCCTATTATGCATGTCTATTGGTATTGCATTTTCATCCTTATGTGGCCTGATATTTTTACTTTCTAATATTTCTTTTGTCTTGTAACTTTTTTCTTTTGAATCTTACTTCAAATGATGCCAGCCTTCATATCTGTGTAAGTAAATGTCTGTTGCAGTCGACAACTGAGAGTTTGAGTTTTCCACGGTGTTCACATTAAAATTCTCCTTTTTTGCTTAAGGTCTTACATGAAAGGGGAAACTATAGGAGCTTACACCTTGATTGCAAAAGAATTATGAAATTTATTGACCATAAAAATGTCTCTTATTTTAAAATTGCTCATCTTAAATTTATTGACCATAATAATGGTAGTTTTAAAACTGTTAACCAATTAAAAAAGGTAAGCTGTAATCAATCTCTTCCACAATATGTTTTGTTCATTGCAGCTTCAGAGGGTTTATTAGGCAATACTAATGAAATGTAGCCTACTCAATACCTCAGGATATGCATTAACAATACTCTAATCTACTTCAGAGGGAGATTCTATTTTCATCTATCTCTTCTTTTAGTGTATGGTCTGAATCCATTTTCCTATGCCAAGTGGTAGTTTCGTGTATTACCATTAGACTATATGTCCAGCCACCATCTATGCCTCTTCAAAAGGGAAAAGAACATGGTAGGGGTCAGAAACAAAAACATTGGCATGTGTTCTACAAAGATAGTGTTCCTTTTTTCCCCCACCCATGAGATTATGCGACTTGATTATTTTGTGCAGGTAATGCAGATGGCATGGGAAGCATTAGAAAAGATGAGCTTTATCGTGCTTGTGTAGTTCACAAGGTGATTTTATTATCCTACAAAGCATAGATGGGATCTAACTGCTGAAGTAATCCTTGTATTCTAATACATACAACAACCTGATTCTGGGTTTCTCTAGCTAAAAAATATCCTTGCATCTCATGAAATCTTTTCTATTTTCAACTTCATCTACCATCTATACTGTGCTTTTAGCTTTTTTTAATTTGTAAGTTCAGGTTCAACTTGATCGAGTGAAGGTTTTGGACCACCCAGATTTTCAGGTTATACTATTAAGTCTCTTTTAGTTTATGGATTTTGAACCGGTCTATTCATAATTTGGTATGTTTGCTTTTGGAAATTGATGTTTTTTCAAATGCAGTGAAAAATACAAAAACTTGTTTGGCTGGATATAGCTCCAGGCCTATCTAATCTAGAGTCTATTGTTAATTGATAAAAAGATTTAGTAGGAGTTTATAATCTTATTTTTCATGTCAGGATGGTTTTGGCCGAGTCTGGAACCATGGTTTATTGGCAAATATCATTGAAGAGGAGGTTTATGGTCTGGTCATTGATGTGGTACACTCTTGGCTCTGTTGGTTATTCACCTACATGCTTGGTTGCTTTAATTCATTCTAAGTTGATTTTTTTTTCAATGTTACTGTATAAAATGTCCAACTGTCCAAGTTATGCTAAGTGATGGATGCATTTGGGAGTGGAAGTGATATACATCATTTGAAAGTTTTCTGTTACTGCTTGTTTGTTAAGATCTTTCATTTCCTATTTCTCTTATCCGTGCTTCTATTATTTTTCAGATTATTACATTTGATGGCTATGGTGTTTCGGGTCATTGCAACCATGGTGATGTGCATCGTGGGGTAGTGTAAGTTAAAATCATTTCATATTCTTCAACTCAATTTCACAGAAGTAACATTTTAATTGTTCATAGCATAAAGCATTAGAAGAAAATAAAATGTGCTACTGCCTACATATACCTATTTAATGATAACTCACCTTTTCCATCGTTTTTTCATTATTATTTGAAAAGAGAATATGATATTTTTATAACAATATTTTCACGAGTAACACTAATAAAAAATTTATGTAAACATAAGAAAAGTCAGATTGACTTTCTATCTACCTCAACGATGCTAAGCAACAAAACTAAGCCACCAACAATTTTTTGGTTCAATCAGAAAGTTCACCATTAATAATAATGGTTTAGATTCCGCTGAATTCTTTTTTACTTTTCTTTTTCTCATATTAACAGCAAGTTCCTGCATGATTCTGCACCAGGAAATATTGAAGCTTGGGAACTTGTAAGTTGCTTTTCTACCTTTTTTTAAACATATATTGTTAAAGACGGCAATACTAAGTAAAATAGTTTTTCTGTTTTCCATTTTTCTCTTTTGGTTGCTAATTTGGTTCCATGCTGATTGCATGATATTTTTTCTTCGTTAATTTTTTTTTTTGAAAAACTAAATTTTCTAATCTCAGTTCATTTCCTCTGATTATTTAATTATATAAAAGGGTTTGATATGGCCTAATTCTTTTATCCTCCTGAATCCATTGCTGGTCATAAAAATTAAATAGCAATTTTGCTAGTACTAATTCTCTTTCTTGACTTTTTCTCTCCATCTATTTGATATAAATTTAAGTTGAGACAACTTTCCTTCTTTCCTGTTCCTGGAACCCAATGAAATGATTTTCTTGTTGAGTTAATCTGGAAATTAGAGGTTGTTGACCAAGTTATTGCATCGAGTGAGTGGAGGAGAAAGACCCTTGAACAAATCAGTGGCCTTAATAAACTTTTCTCTATATGTGATTTAGCATATTATGTTATTTCTGGGCTTTTGCCTTTATTTTTGAATTATGATATTTTGTCCCCATTTGTTTTATTAGGTGAGTATAAACATATTGCGCAAGTATAGTGGACTGTTTGACATTTGGATTTCAAGTTTAGATGTCATGCGACATCCAAAGGGTCTCAGGCATTGCTTGCTTAATGAGGATCCACGGAAGAGCTACCTGGCAATGGCACAACACTCTAGCCAATGGGTTTGGTATGTATGTTTTCCAATAAAGTCTAAACTAATAGAACTGAGCATGGCCAATGGTTGTTGTGAAAACTTAACAACATTTCTTCTCATTTTCTTTC